TGGACGTCTGGATTGACTACTGTACTATTTTACACAAACGCCTAAAACTTCTTGCCAAAGTTACCAGACATCTGGATTTACAAAAAAGAAAGCAGTTGGGTTTTTCCAACATCAGCCTCTCTAATAGCCCTTAACAGTTGACAGACAATAGGAGTATCAACACCCAAAAATAAGGATAGCAGATGGTGGGTTTATTCCTGTTGATCCGTGGCTCACCAGGCGTGATCATCTCGCCTGGGCCTCAATTCTGCTATTTTAATATTGTATCAATATACTGTCGATAGAATAATTTTGCACTCATCGTATTCTACTAACCATGTAAGATCAATGGCCTGCCGATGACATGTCACTGATACAAATGTCTTCGATGTCTTTTTAATAGTTTGGTAAACGGTACATTTTTAATTTGTAAGATTTTTTTAAATTTTGCAGGTATAGAATAAAATTTTGTTGATATCACCATTGATGACCGACTATATCGACAGTGTATTGACACTGAATTTATGTTAGTAGAATACAGATATTTTGACCCATGTCAATGGCATCTCAGTTGCGTGTCAATGGAATGACAGTGGCTTGGCGTTAACATAAAATAGAATTGAGGCCCTGATCGGAGGTTACTTCCTTTATGTTGAAGGGACATGGCAACCGTTCCTTCACATTCTAAACGTGTTAATTATTTTTTATTTATTGTTATACCTATAGGTACATTCTAATCTACAAATTTTAGAACGAATAACTGTATTTTAATGAAACTCATAACTTTCTAGACACTTAAGTAAATGATTTTATACCGGGTAGATAAATTGTAATTAAGGTAATTCTCACGAACAACCAATTTCATGTACCATTTGGCAGTCCCTTTCATGATAGCATGAGACACGATAGAGTTTGAGGTTTAATTCGTCTATTTCTTTTAAACCCAAGGAATGGAAATAAAATTCAAATTATTGTAGTAAAATTGAAGTTGTAATTCTAGGTAATTCTAAACCACTAGGTACACAAACTAACTGGTTTTTTATTACTTAATGTAAGGAAATTGCAACGAATCTGGACTTTACGTTATTTTGACATATATTTTACGGACGAAATTGTCCTTAAGTATCCAAGATGTCCACCGAGATAATTATAACTTAACAATATTTCATTCATAAGTGATGGGTGTTTTGGCAAATGAAATATTGAATATTTAATTAAGTTTTTTTTAAAATATTTAAACATGAAAGTCAGAGAAAGTTTACAGGAAAATACAGAGAATTAAACTCTCCTCAAATCAAAATATCCGTGTTTCCTTTCTTTAGTGTTATAGAGGAAATCAAATATTATTGTGCACCACGGGGCCGCTACGTTGTGGTCAGTAAGTTAAACATCTCTGTATCTAATGATGTTATACGATAAAGAATAGACGTAACAGTAACTATTTAAAAAGCTTGTTTTTGACCTTATTCACTATAACTGTTCAATTTTTAGTTTTGCTGTTATTAAACTAAGTAAGAATAATATTATTTTTTCTAAGTGTATTTATTAAAAACGACATAAATGAGGTCAGAATAATAAATAAAAATAAATTACGTCTATTGACATGAAAAACTTAGACAGTTCAAAATTAGTTAAAATAATAACTTCACACTACTGATTCCAAACTAGGCTGGCCTGTGCCTTGATAAGCAGGCTTAACATACTTATATATTTCTAAATACATATATATTATAGGTAAATCACACCCAAACACAGAACGATTGATTGTCACACATTTATTAGTCCTGGGAGGGATTCAAACCTACGACCTCTCCGACTAGCAGTCAGGGTCACTAACCACTAGACCAACAGGCCTGTCTATTAAAACAAAGGACAATGGCAGGCATGTACCGGACTTTTGTACGGCTTTGGGTATCTCATGGTAGGGATTATTGTTGCATTTACATGTTGTATTTAATTACGAGTTTTTTAGAACTTTGCGTTTCAAAGTTATTTTAGTTTGTAGTTTACATATTATAGCTGTACCGAAGTCGACTTATTTGTGACATTCAGCCGTCATGGGTACCTGACTGCTGACTGGCTCAAATGAGTTGTTATAATTGGCAATAAGTTAACGTAGGTCCCATAATATTGAAAATCGGATATACACAATATGAATACACACAATATATTCTGTGTGGTGACGGAATAAGAATAAGGAGTGTCACCTCCCCTATTTATTCCGCGGGCGTTGGAAGTGTCGACTGAAGCAGAGCGACAGAGCAAACTACGCAGATTAACAGCACTGTAAAGAGAAGGAAAACTTGAAACAAACCCATACTAATCCGTCTGGCCATGGTAGTATAGTAGGCCAAAATCTCCTTTCTAAGGGAAGGCCTGTGTTTAGCAGTGGACTATTAGAGGCTGTTGATGATGACAATATTGGTATCTTCGTAAACCTTTCTACTCTCAACGTTTCTAAATGGCAAGGAAGTTGTTAATAGCAGTTAAGTTACTTTTTTACACAGTGTTCACGATTAATCTAATCGATCTAAACAAAAATTATTAGACCCTTTTCTTAAAATGATTCCTTTCTTTATTACTTCGTCTAATCTGTATAGTCAACATTAGTAATTAAAAAAGTGTTTGTTTTTAGCTGCTAAATACAACGCTAGTGAGCTTATTCGTTTTTATGTAATTTATATTTTTAGCAAGACAAGCTTAGAAAACTTGGGAATGCTTTTGGTGAGAACACTTGTACGTTTAGTTATAGCAGTTGTAACAAGTTTTAGATAAGAATGTGTATCCTTTTAGCAAAGTTCTAAAAATATTGTAATTACATAAAAATTGTTAGGATGATTCACTTTATAAACAGTATAAATCTCATAACCATCCATCATATATTAGTACAAATTAGACAGGGTCTGCCGTTCTTCTTTAGATAACGCTGTGTGTTCTGGGTAAATTAACATTTGATATAAATTCCTCTTCGTGGCAAGTTTGTTGCACCTTTTAGATACAACGCCTTAAGTGAAAACTTATTGTTTTCAACACAAACAATAACATTCGACACGAAACTGTCAACTTTCTTTTGTAGATAATGATATTTCTGTTCGCATTTTGTCGGTCGTTACGATTTACTAGCTAATGATTTGGAACGAAATAAAAATTCTCAAGTACGCTCAAGTATGCTATACATATAAAGCAATGCGATTTCATCTCGTTCAGAAGGAAAGTATAAAATAATATTATAAAACGAATTGGAACAATTAACCCAATTGCTATGGCATGTGTAAATTAAAAAAAAGACAAGTTGGGCTAGTATCCGTGTCCGGTACAGAGATATTATTATGCGCTCTACCTTCTTTGACCATACAGCAAAATCCATATGAGACACCTTCAATTTGCCAACAGTAGTTTGTTAGATGCCAATACGGGGTGCGAGTTAGACGTATACCTTGATGTCCCCAAAGTGATCAACCGAGGGCAATAATAATATATTTTATTTAAAAGACCACTCCCGAATTAGGCTTATATATCCTGTGTCGCGTAGGACTTTACAAACATACATGAAACGGACACAAAGAACACCCAGGCTCAGAACAACAATATGTGGATCACACAAAGTGTCGTCCCGTGTGGGGATCGCACCCACAACACTCAGCGTAGTAATAAGTGGCGTGGCGACCGCCTAAACCACTACGCCATCCGCGCAGTCGTGCATTTCGTTATGAGACTAAATTTATTGTCAAAAAAATACATAGTTTGCCTACAATTACATAATAGGGGCAATGGGTCAGGATCTATCGCAAGAGCACATCATCATCACATCAGCAGTCTATAATAGTCCACTGCTGAACATAGGCCTCTACTTAGAAAGGAGGTTTTGGCCTACTATACCACGCTGGCCAGACGGGTTGGTATAGGGTTTGTTTCAAGTTTTTCCTTCTTTTTGCAGTGTTATTGTCCTGTGCGTTTTGTTCCCTTAGACCACATCACAAGAGCAATTGGAGATAAACCGGGGATTGGGATTTAAAGATGGCAAAATTGGGCATATTGTAAAAAAGAAAGGTCGATGAGAAAGGAAGACATCGGTAGGGGAGATATTTATTGTGCGAGAAGTTGTCCTCTAACATTATCAACAGGTTTAAATAGTCATAGCCCTCTCCTTAGGAAGAAGATTTTGGCCTACTATACCCTGCTGGCCGGACGGGTTGATATAGGGTCCCCTCCACCCGCATTAGTTTGGGCCAGCCGCGAGGGGGCGGCGTCCGCGTGTGCCGGACGTCGCCTAAAGAGAGGAACATCAACATTGAGACGGAGCCCGCACCAGGAGCGGGCTGGCGCTAGGAGGGGTCCGGATGTCTTAACAACAGCTGTTCCCGGATCCCTCCTGTTATAGGCGCAGAGTGGCACACCGTGTGGTTTTAGTCGGTCCGAGTCCGACACACCACCCCGCCGCAAACCAAGGAGGGGTGACGGTCCGAGGGGATTTCCACACGTTAAAAAAAAAAAAAGGGTTCGTGTAAAGTTTTCCTTCTCTTTGCAGTGTTGTTGTCCTGCGTAGATAGCTCCCTTAGTCGGCTCTCATGACACCCACAGGATGATTGGTTGTGGTGACACTCCGTATTCTTAATCCGTCACCGTACGGATAGACCTCTAACATATTTGATTATTTAACAAACTTGGAAGACTTACTGCTAAAATAACATTTTAGTATACCATATGTGTCTGCCAATGACAAGTCTCCACTTATAGACAACATGTATAACAACAACAAGTGTATGGAAAGACAGGGTATCCACTTCTTACGCTTTCTCAATTATAGAATACGTATTAAATGTAACGAAAAAAAAAACGGTTAAATTACAAATATATGTACTTACAATTTTTTTTGTTTTTATTGTAAAACAAAACAATACACATTAATTATTACCAAAAAAGATCTGACTTCAATAACTTTTAACTGAGGTAAATTTTGTTTAACATACATTTTTATTGTTTTTTTAAATCGTACCTAACATTGTTTTTTTTTGTTGCAGATTTACCAACATCTCCGTTGGTACACAAACCCATCGGAGCAACGTTGGATAGTGCGTATATTATTCATCGTACCAATATACGGCTGTTACAGTTGGATCTCGTTGCTATTTTTTAATGGCAACTCCTACTATGTATACTTCTTCACCGTCAGAGATTGCTATGAAGGTAAATATCATACTTCAGTGCTTGACAATTTAACCTAACCAGGTATAAAGTTTAAAAAGCTAGCATTTTTAAAACTAATAAGGATAATGACATGGATGGATAATAACAAATAAAGCTTTCTGATTCTGCCAAACTGATAATTGATTCCGGTTGCTGCAGTTATTGTGTGCTGCTTTCGTGGATGTTGATATCTGGCCAAACCTGTAAGTAACCATATACCGATGGTGTGTGACATATGTCAGCGAAATAATACGGTCTTTCAAAAATCAGCCTTATAGATTGATTATAATGTAACTGGCGACTGGTTGTTTCAAAATAAATTTTGACGCAAGACTTGTAAAATCTGTGTTGATCTTTCCAAGAAAACTGCTTCTATAATGTTCACTATGCATGTCTTGCAATCGAAAATGTGATGACCAAAAAAAAAGATAGCTAAAGAAAAGAAGATCAATCACATTTTTTTTTGATCTTCTACATTATCAAGAAAATTGGAATCAACAGTTTCACAACATAATTTGTGGCTTCAAAATTTCAAGCCACTTTAACTTTTCCTTGGAGTCGTTTAGTATTATTTTCGGTGACTTAGTAGTAATTGCTGTACAGTAGTCAGTGATGGAAATATAAGTACTTAAAAGTCCTTTTTTACGCAATTTGTGGCAACGTGCTTAGTCTTACTTTTATCAATAGCTCTATCCAAGTACGTTGCATTTAATGCGCCTTAAACGGTAGCTTATCTACAATCATGCAAATATAAAAGGCGTCATAATTGGCGAAAACCATCGCTATGTCATTACCAATTACCAGATGGTCGAAGTTAGAGATCGTGTAATTGTTACGTTGTTACTCTATTAAACGATTGTAGTTAAAAATTGTGTATTTAAACTTATATACAACAGCCACGGCAAAACATGCCATTACGCGTATCATGAACCAATTGTAGATATTTAAAAGCCAAATACGTTAAACTTATCAGTAGTATGCAGTCGTTGAATATGCTATAAAATTATATGTGGAACGGATGATGATTAATGTCTACCTTTACTCCATAGTCTGGTATTAGTTACTTGAAAGTTTAATAGGTTTCTCAATGTTGGACACCAATGAAAGAAGAATGAAAATTATTGGTCAAACGAAGTCAATTTCAAAATTTCTAGTAGAGGTGAAAAAGGTCAATCTAATAAGTAGTGGTTAATCAAACATTGTTTTCTACTGTTTTTTGGAGACATAAATTGAACATCTTAATCCAGTTTAAAAAGAGTATCGTAATAGTGAATGTATCAAATAAAAATGTGTTGAATTTGACGTCAAATAAATTGTGTTTGAATTACTAGTAGGTAGGTACTTAATGCACTCATTTATCTTTTTTTTTGTCATTTGTTGTCCTTATTACCTAAATAATTTACCGACACACTTAGTATTGAGCGAACGTGTACAATTAATAATGATAAGAGTTAAGGGGCTATTTAATTTAACTTTATTTTCTTTACTCTTAAAGTAGTGTACACGGTTGTACGCATTCTAGTTCTCGTACATAAAGCACAGATACAGACATGTCAAACTTATAATACCCCTCTTTTTGCGTCGAAGGTTAAAAGAAACGTTATAAGTTAGTCTTGTAATTTTGTCTCACGATGGAAATATCAAAATTTACATTTTAAATTTAGAAGATTGCCTCACAATCTGGAGCCGCCTGTTTAAATTTATTAATCGATTCTGCGATCTTTGATGTATGCTACGCAGTGAAGTGATTACGTTAACAAATTCGTGTTTAAATTTACTTAGACAGACTGTATAACAGAATATGCAACTTTTGTGAGAACATTGGTTGTAAGAGTTTAAAATTTGTATGCTGAATGAAAAGGCAAAATAAAAAAATGTTTTTCTAATGATTCATTTCCCATAGTTTGCTGTTGACACCACTATCTGTTAATCCAGAATAAGAACTATTTACGTACTACATTCCATCCAAATCCATCCAGCCGTTTCATCATGAGAAAGTAACGATAGACACGAACCTACCCTCTACTACTAAACTGTGTGTGATATTATAATGATAATAATGAATGCTGTATCCAAGTCCAAAGTGAAGTTCGATGTATTTCTCTTTGAATAGCGCTTGTATAACGCTACTTGAAAGTGCATAACGAATCCATTGTCCTAGTTCTACGATATAATTATCGGTATTAGAATCTTTTGATATTGCCTAAGTCTGCCCTATAACAAGGAAAGTATAGCTTTCATTGCCCTCTTCTTTTTCTCCATATGCAAAACCTTATGCAATTTGGATATCTTCAAGTTTTGAAGATTTCAAAGAATTGCAGATAATTATCTCGATCTTGAAGGTTAAGCTGTTTTTTTCTCAAAAGACAACGCCTGCATTATGAATGTATCCTGTGTCCCGTGGGACTTAACAGACGAATAAAACGGACACAAAGAACACCCAGAAACAAGATCACATGAAGTGTTGTCCCATGTAGGACCGCTCAAAGGCTCTCATCGAGCTGTTAGTATTCTTTGTATGGAGTAATATGAGCTATGAAATTAAACCACTATGCCATGCGTAATTATTGAAAACTAGGTATAAACGCTATGAAAATACAAGTGATCTTAATAAATTAAACTAAGAGGTGAATACCATATCACAAAACTGTCATTTACTGTAGATTAAGATAATCAGAGTATTATAATTGAATGTTGAAAACTATGTCTTTAAATGATTTTCTTATTAAGTAAGACGTGATCATTAAAGATTCCTAGATTCAGATGCTGGTCACATGTGATCTCTTAATTTTTTAAGGCATCGCTAACAGGTTTTTTGGTAAAAAGTATATTACGTCAATTGGTAGAGAATCTAAATGGTAATTGAATTACTTAAAGAAATCTAAAAATATCATTTTTAGACTTTTATTAATGACTATAAATGTTTTTTAACCATACTATAGAATATACGAGGGGTGATCAATAAGTAATGATAATCAATATGAAACAGAACTATTAGATTAAAAAAAGTATTTTATTTTTCAACATAGTCTCCTTGCAAGTTAATACATTTAGTGTATCTTTTTTCTAAGCCCATGATTCCCTTAGAAAAAAAATCTTTGTCTTGACCCTTCCAAAATGCCTCTACTGCGGCCATCACTTCACTATTGTCCTCAAATTTGTTGCCCCGGAGGTGTTCTTTGAGCCGAGGAAAGAGGTAGAAGTCACTGGGAGCTAGATCTGGCGAATAGGGAGGGTGTTCGAGCAGTTCGAACCCCGTTTCTTCAATGGCAGCCATCGCAACTGCGGCTTTGTGAGCCGGGGCGTTGTCTTGGTGAAACAGCACTCCAGCGCGCAGTTTACCGCGTCTTTTTGACTTAATAGCTTCTCGCAATCTTCTTATTTGGCCTGCGTAGTAAGAGCCTGTTATAGTGGCCCCCTTTTCCAAATATTCCACCATAATAATTCCTTCTGCATCCCAGAAAACAGACGCCATAACCTTTCCCGCTGAACTTGACACTTTGAATTTCTTCGGCGTTGGTGAGGAAGCTCGTTTCCAAGTCATTGATTGTTGTTTGGTTTCGGGATCAAAGTGGTGGATCCAGGTCTCGTCCATGGTCACAAAACGCGACAAAAAAAATTCTTTATCGGCCTGGAACTTTTGAAGATTCACCCTCGAAATGTCGACTCGTTTCTTTTTTTGCTCGTCGGTTAACATTCTCGGTACCCAACGCGCAGAGACCTTTTTCATATGCATTTTGTTGACAATGATTTTTTGAACGCTGCCATAGGAGATCCCTGTGACCTCAGCTACATGCCTTATGGTCACCCTTCGATCGGCCAACACGATATCTTCCACTTTTTTGACGTTTTCTCCAGTAAGGGACGTGGAAGGGCGTCCCTCGCGATGTTCATCTTCAGTGGAGGTTCTGCCTAGCTTAAATTCCTTTGCCCAGCGTGCGACTGTGGAATATGGAGGAGCAGACTCCCCCAATGTTTCCTCTAAGTCGCTGTGTATGTCTTTGGTAGACATTTTTTTCAGGCAGAGGTACTTGATGACAGCTCTTATTTCATTTTTCTCCATTTTGATGTTTTCTCTTCGACAGTTCGTATTCAAATGAATGTATCTCCCGGTAATGGTGTCCTATTTGTACATTTTTTTGAAGCTGAAGTAGTGGATATATAAGCAAGCAGAAAAAAAATAATTTTGGTTTTTGTGCGTTCTAGAAATACTCGATTATCATTACTTATTGATCACCCCTCGTACTTAAACGTATTAGTCGGTTAATGATTTGATGATTTTTGCTTTTGTGTATAGAAGATACATAACGTATTCTATTAGTTTCCTACTAATGCTAGTTATATAATTGTATACGTAGTTTATGCATATGAGTAGGATGTAGGTCATGGTTGTGTTAAAAGTGAGATGTTTGCTTGTATTTGGCCAATGATTTAACAGATAGGCGCTTCAAAGATGTCCTTAAACATTCACTAGATATTATTTATGTGTTTTAAGCTCAATATTTTATCTCTTATTTTGTTTTATCGCTCTCTTTTTTTACTACTAAATTACCTTCTTGCGTACGAAGTTTAAATGCCCGCACGCGCAACGAAAATTATTTCTATTAAGTACACTTTCATGATCTTCATCAAGTGATCTACAAGTGCAGATATTGTTCATTATGTTGAAAAAAGACATAACATAAACTTAATAATAGATTTTTGTGACCAAAAGTCTGTGAAGGTACAGACAATAAATAGGACAACACTTTGTGTAATCCACAAACTGTTGTTCTGAGTTTGAGTGTTCTGTGTGTCCGTTTCATGAATGTTTGTGATTAATTATTATGTATACTTAATGTTATTAATTTTGGTATTTCATTGCATTATATTAATAAAATGTCTAATTAATTGTTTATATCATGATATTACAATACGTTTAGAGGGCTAAGAAAGTAACACACCATGTGGTTTTAGTCGGTTCGATTCCGACACACCGCCCCCTGACAAATCCCGGTGGGGTAACGGCCTGAGGGGGTTTCCACATGTAAAAAAACGGCAATATATAATATAGAAGCTAACTTTTGACACGGACTGTCATTAACCGTTTCCATTATTTCTTATACATACCTTACATACTTACGCTTCCAAGAATCTTATCAGCTGCCATATAAACATTACAAATATACTTGTGGCATTATTCGAATTGTTATACAAACATATTTCACTAGTCATAATATTATGGTCCGTTAATTAATTTGTATCTACTTCAGTTCGTGTTGAGGTCATTGGTTTACGAACTGTTTTGTGAAAGGCTACTCATCATGACAACGTACATACGAATTCAGCTCATGATGCAAAAATTGTCATTCTTAATATTATTTTTTACTCAGTTTTATACCACACCAACTCGTCACTGCAACTAACTGTTCTCAATTCACTTTCACTACCAAACTGACTCCTGATTAAGTTCACAATTTCCTAAAAGTGCATCATCAATAAGGAGGATAAAAGATCACTAGAGCCGCAATATTTATTTATCACACACTAGCTTTTGCCCGTGATTCCGTCCGCATGTATTTCGGTTATCGCGCTAAAAAGTAGCCTATGTTACTCGCTGATAATGTAGCTTTCCATTGGTAAAAGATTTTTTAAATCGGTTTAGTTGTTTAAGCATGAAAGCCTAACAAACAAACAAACTCACTTTCACATCCATACAAATAAATAAAATTGGAGTGTCTGTGTGTAATATTAAAATATTTAGTATATAGTAATATAGTAAAATATTTAGTATGTAGTATATAGTAAAATATTTATAAATAGTTATTTTAAAATTTACCGTGTAAACCTACATATGCATATATTCATATGTATGTTTACACGGTACATATGCCAAAATAACATTTTTTACAATTTTTGTCTGTCTGGCTGTTTGTTCCGGGTAATCTCTGGAACGGCTGGACCGATTTCGACGGGCCTTTAATGTGCAGATAGCTGATGACATAAGGAGTAACTAAGGCTACTTTTTTTAGACTAGCTTCGCCCTGCGGCGTTGCCCGCGGTTATAACAACAAACGCGGGTAACACCGCGGGTCTCAGCTAGATTATAATATAAGTATGGATTATTAAATTAAACGAGCACAAGTCCAATCTAATGGCAAGCGTTTATGGACCTATAAACTCGTTATTTGCGCTTTGGTGACGTACCTAATGAAATACGTGAAACCATTTCACCGGCATAAATCTCTATTAGTATGGATTAACTAATATTATAAATATGTATAAATATAAGAATCCGTTACCGGCGACTGCGTAACGAAAGGTCTGATGAAAGTGAAATGACGCAAGCTGTATGTCAGGATCTTTTAGATAAATGACACGGACACGAATAAGGCATAAACCCATGTATTTCATGTATGTATTATGAACAGAGATCTAAGATTGTTTTTTCTAAACTATAACCGTTTCTTATAAATGTTATCACGTTATCAGGTTTACAGAATAGGAAAATGTATGATCTGTCAAATAGAAATAAGTACTGTTCCGAAGGATTGAAAAATAACTTAGCTAACTGAATTTAATTCAGGCAAATCGTCGCAGAATTATCTTCACAAATGAGTAAAGGTAATTCTGAAAGAAATAATTTTTCTCATAGTATATAAATGTCATGTCACATTGCAGCGTTCGTGATCTACAGTTTCCTATCACTCTGCTATGAGTACTTAGGCGGCGAGGGGAACATTATGTCAGAACTCCGGGGCCGACCGGTGCGAGCTTCGTGCGTCAATGGCACTTGTTGTCTCAGCGGCGCCACTTATACCATCGGCTTTCTACGGTTCTGCAAACAGGCAACACTCCAGTTCTGTCTTATCAAACCTGTGTGCGCCTTTATTATTATATTCCTGCAGGTAATAATTTTGTTGGTAATGATAATAGATAAAATTCTAATCAGTTTTCTCGTAGTTCACATCGACTAAAGAAATATATCATCTTATATAACTGTTACTAATCATCATGTTTTATACTTTCATAAAATAATTGGCTTGTGCTATGTAAAGTGTTAGTTGCTGAGCTAAACAAAATCATCTAGTTCCAGAATATTTTGAACTCCTGGAAAATTGGCTACGTTCTGCAACTATGTCCTGGCAAAATTCGATATCTTGCAATGACATATTTTTAGGCTTACACGTATGCGATCGACTAGGTAGAGGAAGTTATTTAAGACTGTAAAGCTAATAAGGTGTCAAGGTAGAAAATAGATTAAAATAAACAAGGATTTTAGGGTTTTGTTAAGGCAGATTTAAAGTTTATGTTAAGCCCAGCATTTCTGTTCATACGTACACTATTATGTTAATATTTCTGTCCATCAACAGGCTAGAGGTCTGTACCATGACGGTGACTGGAGCCCCGACGGCGGTTACATCTACATTACTATCGTGTACAATTTCTCCGTGAGCTTGGCCCTCTACGGTCTATTCCTCTTCCTTGGTGCTACAAGGGAGATGCTCAAGCCGTTTGATCCGGTCCTCAAGTTCTTCACAGTGAAATCTGTCATTTTCTTGTCATTTTGGCAAGGTAAGTTTTTGTTTAATTTAAAATAGTTCACACATCGTATTTACTCGTAGTAAGTACATTAAAACACACTTATTTAATTGAGGTATATGTGCTCTTAAGTACGTACATCTTTATTTATAATATAATATAAAAATATAATTCAGAAAAAAAAAACAGTCATAGCTATATGTAACGATTAGTTTTTAAGGTTTAAATGTACAAGAAATAATTATCTGTATTTTTTTTTAAATAAGCAATTAATAGCCCATAATCGAAAGAAGAAATATGAAAGAAAAATGTGGCGATATAATTCAGGTTATTGTAAGTGAATGACTGAAAATACATTTTATATGTATGGAACATGTGGGAGCATACATCTGTTAATGGGTTTGTGTGCGCAGCTGTAGTCCTGTTTTAATTTTTCATAGTCATTGCACGTTTGCAAAAACATGTCGACAATAAGTTGTAAACGGATTATAGCTATATATACAATATGAAATATTTAGTTTTCGTCATTCTCAAAGTTATGAGTAGCTAAAAATATTTGCGGTTTAGTCTCAGTCCTTCATGTTATGACTAGAATGAAAGAGGGACGTAGTGCATCGACCTAATATACGTACTATTACTCACTGTATAGGTAGCGTCAGTGGTCAATCTAAATTTTCTACTCTCTTGTAAACCTTTTCGCGGTGTATACCTAATACGTAGACCAACTACTTCGCGTTACGACTAAACAAATCGCAATTTATCCATGATGATAGTTAGACCTACTACAATATAGATCAAATAGCGAGTTAGGCATAAAGTTAGTTAGACCTACTACGATGTAGCTCAGTAGCGAGGAAGACCTATTAACTTCCCTTACTCCCTTAGGACCTTTGGACATTCATCAACAGCCTTTACTAGTCCACTGCTAGACCTCTCCTCTCCTTAGTAACGAGGTTTAGGCCTACTATACCACTTTCAACATTGATATCCGACATTTTTGTTGTGACTGGTTATAGACTTTTAGTAAAAGTATATATTTTACTTATCTAGAGTTTGTTTTTTCATTAATAAAAAATGTGTTAATAAACAAATTTTATTTAATCCATAAATACATATAGACCTATTAGGTCTTTAATAAAACTTAAATTATTTTTATATTATCACTTAAAATGCTAAATTCAAAACTTAACAATAATTTAAAGTTAAATTTTAGTGACTGAATTTACAGTGGCTCCTTTTTGGTTTTACAAAGATTTTTTATGAAATATAGTCCCGTTACATCGTTATTTTGTCATTTTGCAGGCTCCTTTCAGGATATCTTTTGAATACATATTTAAAATAGATGAAAAATTTAGACAATTGAATATTTTAATAGTTATAGGTCGTAAATTCAAAGATAATATATTGTTTATATGACAGTGTCATTATGATAGAACACTCAAAATTGTAAGTGGACAGATAAACACAATAAGAAGTGTAGACAATGTAGATGTAGACCATGTAGAAGATGTAGGCCATGTAAGATTAAGGTATATAGCGAAGTAGACAAACGAGGACTTAGGCAGACACTTGGCTGAAAGCTAATCAAAAATGAAGTTTAGTCATAACGCGAAGTAGTTGTTCTCCGTATTCGGTATACCCCGCGGAAAGATAGTAACCGACTGAGCAGAACATTGTCCTACTTAATGTTTTTTTTATTTATTCAAATTAGGGTGATTGCATCATAACCGTATAGGATGTTAATAAATGACGATCAATATCGGAATTCTAACGAAATTGAGTCATGATTGGTATGTTTCCTTTTCATTATTATTTCTTATTTTAATTCTTCAGGAGTAGCCCTAGCCATCCTAGAGAAGGCTGAAGTGATATCGCCCATACACGATGAGCTCGGCGTGCCCACCACAGCTGGTACGGTGTCCGCCGGCTACCAGAACTTTTTGATTTGCCTTGAGATGTTGGCGGCCGCCATCGCGCTCCGCTACGCTTTCCCCGCCGTCGTGTATGCACACGCGCACCGCGACCCGCACCGCTCCGTCACTATGCAGTCCATCTCTAGTAGCCTCAAGGTAAAAAAACAATAGACTATACATTTTAGTTATGAGTTTAGTCATTAATTTACTTCACTGTCTGGTCTAATTGAATAATAATACAAATAATACATCAAGTACCTATATATTCTTTAATATGAAAAATTGTGCTTGAACTATTTTTAAATTCTCTTTTACTGCAAGGCTATGCGAATTTAAATATTCATTATACATAGTATTCAATTTTATCCCTGTGCTCATATCGATATTAGATAGTATAGAATATTTGCTACCTAGTATTTACATCATCGTGTACTTAGGCGTCCGTGTGGTGACGGATTAAGAATACAGAGTGTCACCACCCCTATTCATCCCGTGGGTGTCGTAAGAGACGACTAAGGGAGAAAACTACGCAGAACAACAGCACTGCAGAGAGAAGGAAAACTTGACACAAACCCTATACCAACCCGTCTGGCCAGCGTGGTATAGTAGGCCAAAACCTCCTTTCTAAGGAGAGGCTTATGTCCAGCAGTGGACTATTAAAGGCTGTTGATGATGATGATGATGTACTTTTAGGGGCTACTTACATTATTCCTGAATATATTTATGCCTTAAAGTAAGTAATTAGGTGCACATTAAACATTACTGGACACATAAGTTACGTCGTGAATACTACCTAGTATTGTTGCATGCATAATAGATAAATAATTTATTTTAAACAGTATTTAAAAAAAAATACTTCTTCATTTTTGATATTAACCGGATGTTGTGGTTATTTAATTTAATCGTATGATTTTACAGGAGACAATGAACCCTAAGGACATAATGACGGATGCGTTCCACAATTTCCACCCACAGTATCAACAATACACCCAATACAGCTCCGGTGAGTACCTGCTCCTTATACCTGTTATTTATACTCGTTCACTGTGATACCGCATGTTTCATACGCTGCCTGGTCGCATTTTATTTGCTCATTTTAATAATACTCTCATGTGACGTATAGTGTGTTTATGACCTTATGGTACTTAGCGATTTTATACACTACGTAGACCGAGACCGAAACCACTGGACTGCGTTGATTATTCCTGAATACTGATCTTAAAATGTCCGATACTTAACTCGAAATGTGGAATACTAAATTTTAAAATAAGGTTTTCACACATAAACATGTTGTATGAAACGAATAGAACATTTTTTTTTATTGTCGTCTATGTATTTTTTTGATAACGTATCTGTTATTAAAAGCCAGTGTATGACTCATATCTAGTATTAACGTTATTTATAGTTGCTTTGTGGTATTAAATTTCTAATATAATAACAATCATCTGGTTCGTTGTATACCAGACTATATTATAACTTATTATGATTTAGTAATTTCTGAATACATATAAGTCATCGCATAATACTGGAGTATGTTTCGGACTGCGTAATGTATTATTCGCTAAACCTTTCTAAGTAGATTCTAAATAGTAAAATAGATTTAGCCTTAGCAGATATTTAGTTAGTCTAGAACAGGGATTCCCCTTGGGGTCGAAATCGGTTTCCCAGGGGTCGACATAAACGAAAACTGATTTTGGGGGTGGACGAGGTCTAAAAATTGAGCCCTAATTGTTAACACGTTGTATTACGGGTACCATTTCGTTATAAGCATGAGTAATATTTTAGTAGGAAGTCTTATTATGATACTTTAAAAAAGCTCAACAAGTCAAGCGTGCACTAATTTGGCTACGGGAGTCTGAGGTTCCAGTTCATTTTAGAAAAGGGGTTTCTTTCCCAAAATAGTTTAGGAATCCCTGGTCTAGAAAAAAGGAGTGGTCTAGAAATTTGATTTTATGAAAAAACTTGTTTTGGTATTTAAGAATTTTGTATTTGTTTAAATGCGCCCAGTTTTATGTAGCCTCATAATTATATTCCCAATGAAGTAGGCTAGGTTTTATTTTTGGTTTTATTTTCTTTCAGATGTCACTTCTCACCTGCCTTATGAGAAACTATAAATACTGCCATAGCTGTGCTCTGCATGAAGTGCATTGCTGTATGTCTGTTAATAAATACTTGTAATAATTAAATACATTTTGCCCGAGCATGGATATACCACTAACAATATGGTATTTTGTCAAGTTTGATTTTGGCAGAGGTTTTTGGTTCTTACATTTTATCACTGAACAGTATTCTGAGTATTAAATTCAGTATTTTATTATGAGATTCTCAATGTCGAGGAACAGTTAACCCGAGTCAGTATCAAAATGACAATTTAACATCAGTTTAATTTCATATTTCTATTCCATGCGATGATTTTATAAGTAGTGAACCATTCTACGGCTTATACACAGCACAGAAAGATATTTTAAAAAGTGCCTTAAAAGATCTGTGCGATTAAGCCATTTTTCATTGTTTTTTCTAGTATATGTATCTGTATCTTTAAAGATGATTATAGATTAACAGAACTAAAAAAACTCATTTTATTTCATCTTGTTGTCGTCTTATAATTGTATTGTTTATAACTGTATTTAAAAAAAAAAAATTAACGCTTAAAATATTAAACTCGTATACCGACCTGTGTACAAAATTTGGTAATTCTAGTATAAAGGGAATTCGGTAAAACGTTATCATTAAAACCATGAGTTGAAGTTCATTTTAAAGAGGATTTTCGGGTACGTCAGTAAATTTACGCGTTAATCTACCATAGCTGGGTTGCCTATCATTCGTGCTATTGTTAACATATTTAAAATCAATAATAATTGCTAGCCCTTAATTAAAACATGTTTAAGCGTAAGTCTTTTGAAAATTGCAGTTGTAACCAACTGTAATAATTTGCAAACAATTAAATACCTTTTTTAAACACATTTTTTAGGGTTTACGATGGTTTTAATATTCCAAATCGGGGACCATTTAAAGTGATGTCAATTCAACGCACTTCTTTATTGTAAAATTTTGTGTAAAATACTTGCTAAAAAAATATTTTCGGTTACTCTGTTAAGGTATTTGACTAGTCCGAAGAGCATAACGAATTTTATTAAAAAAATTAAGGTAAGTGTACACCAAGGGTTAATTAAGCTAGGGCTAAACGCATGAGAAGTGGATGATTACGAAATTTGCCACACCCATGTGAAAAAGTTTTGTAATAATGTAAGAAAGTTAATTAGGTATGTTATAAATTTTCTTTAGGGCAAGAAAATGCTTAGATACTGCAAGATTTAGTTTTAAATTTATTATTCATACAGATAATAACGGGAAATCGTCACGAACATATTTATCTTCTTTAAAACGTATCTATCTACCCTCAAAAAGATGCATAAAGTTAAACAAATTTTAACAGTCACGTCTTCATTCTAGGCAATTTATTCATAACGACAGATTAAAATCACTAAACTCTTTCGAATACCGTCAAATTATGGGATAATCAATTAGTAAGTAATGTTGCAATGTAATAAGAGCAATGCTGATGTGATTCTACATCAAAGGCCGGCAAGGTACTCGTGACTCCTGAGTTGAGCATGTCCTCGGTCGGCAGCAGTCAATTTCCCTGTTCTTTTACATATGCCATTAAATTGTTAATTCTTATTAAACGATATTTAATAAATACTATATTAGAATAACATCTATTTCATATAAACATACGTGTAGTAGAGTGTGTTGCACACAAACTAACTAAACATACATATTTTGTATTCCGTTAAAAAATGACCATACTAATAAAATTTGTCGTTTGTAATAATTCGGACTATTCATTGCCATAGTTAGTAATTATTCTGTACTTATGCCTATAGTATATTTTTGTGTAAGATTTAGTGTGTAAATGTTTTTCTGTGATTATGATTAATTTTCTTTTTTTTTAATTTTGTTACTTTTTCTTATAATTACAGGATATGATCCTTAATTGAATGTTACAAAAAAAATAGATCATCTTTTTTATAAACATTTTTTGGCATTTATTTGGTTGTTTTTGTACATTTTCTGATGAAACAGTTGTTTTTATTTTCGATACGACCTAACCTTTTGTTGCCAAACCAAAGAACGGCATTTCATGTTTCCACCTCCAGTTGCAAAATGTCGAGGCGATGTTGTTGCCAATGCTTTGTAATAATGCGCGCTTTGATTGTATCGATTAATTTAATTAAAACGTACAACCTCTAAAGCCACCTTATGTGTTTTCCTTTCGTAAACATTGTTATCATAATATTATTTTATAATTAGGAGATTTTAATCTTAGTTTTAGTCTGAATAAAAATTAAAAATGCTGCTCGTTAGATTTAAGTTCTAATTTTTTTTACGGCTCACTATAATTTGATTTTTAAAAACACTTGTATTTCGCCTCTCACTAATAATAAATAAAGGATATTACTTATTTATATTTTATTTTCATTACTCATTCGTAGGTGTATTTATTTATTGTAATTATACAAGTCTGGATACCGCGTCGCTACAAAAGTATCTAATCAAAATAGCCAGACCATAAACCACATAATCGAAAATATCTCGAAAGTTTCACATCACATCAACAGCCTTTAATAGTCCACTGCTGGACATAGGCCTCTCCTTAGAAAGAAGGTTTTGGCCTACTATACCACGCTGGCCAGGCGGGTTGGTATAGGGTTTGTGTCAAGTGTTCCGTCTTTTTGCAGTGCTGGTGTCCTGCGTTGTTTTGCGCCCTTAGTCGGCTCTTACGACACCCACGGGATGAATCGAAAGTTTACCAAATCAGAAAGTAAACTTTAACATAACACACCGTTCTGATTCATTTTGATTAATAATATTCAAAATTAAAATTAATCATAGTAAAAATCAGCTTATTAATTCTAATAACTAGAAATCGAATAGTTTTTCATGTTAGACTGAAAATTTGTGCACTGAATTTGACTAATAAAACATTGAAGGGTGTTTGTAGTAGCATTTGTAGTCAATGTGCATACAGATATTGTGTGTAAGGTTTTTAAGTTGTGTATTTGTAGGTTATTTGTGGATAGGTCGTTCTTTCTGTCTACATTTTTCACCCACCTCTAGAAAAAAATATACACTGGTTTGTTGGTAAATGTACTGCGTCGGATTCATTGCAACTATGAATAGTACTTACCTCCTTAAACTGGAAGTGGTAAGACAAGGTAAGATTGATTTAAAGTATCGCTTTTTTATTATTTTGCTCGCATGCTTTGCAAAGATTGACATTAACATTTGTAGAATGTTTCATAACATCATTTGCACGGTTCCGCACTAGCATGAATGTCGATTGTATTATTAGGTATAGTATAAAAGTATTTGACTTACGGGTCTACGTACTAATAATTATGTACACACATACAAATCAATACCGTGTCCACTGAACCTGTACACTATATATGTCACGTCACTCAAGTATAAGGAACGAACGAGGTTTCCTTATTGATCTGGAATTCTGTCTGTTTGAAACGTACTAAAAGTTATTCAATAGATAAATGTATTGAAAAAAAAAGAATTATTCGCTTTAAAATTTGGCGCTTATTGCTAAGAAGTTGCCAAGGGCCATAAATAAATTTTCAAAGAAGCACTATGTAGTATGTATTCTTTTCTACAGACTGTGTGTTAAATGCTAAAAATAAATTTAATATTTAAAAGTTTCTTCAATTTTGTTTTGATACCACAAAAGGTAAAATAGTTATTTAACAAGAAAACAGTTGGCAAAGATATTGAAATATTTTCTCTTCGCCTACTTTTTTTATGAGGTGGAAAGTAGAGGTGACATTTAATATATTTGTGCTGTTGTGCATTATACCTATATCTCTTAAGTTTTAAAAAAAAAGCAATCCCACCTCATTGCACACTAAGTTTTAAAAAATGCGCTTCTGGATGTCTAGGGTATGATTTTTTCTATCAAGCATTTTAGTAACTAGCAGGCCAAAACCTCATTTCTACGGAGAGGCCTATGTCCAGCAGTGGACTATTAAAGGCTGTTGATGATGATGATTTTAAAATACTAGGTATTAAATGCACAGCCGAATCGAAGTTCCCAAGCACACATAAATGAATAAAAGTAATAAGTAAAAGAAGTGGAATATTAAGTTTCTAACAAACACGTTTTTGCATATTTTATTGGTTTGCTGTAAACGCATTTGCACAACGAAGGTTTTTTGCGTATCGTTCACAATGGCATTTCTAGTAAATTTTGTGGTCTTTAACGGATTTTAATATTTTTTGCGAGTCAGGCACAATGCACTACAAGGATTGTTGCACCTATACAACATAGGAACATGCGTCATTAAAAAGGAAAATAATTGGGATCGGCTGTATTAGTCTTTCTCATTCTACACTACTTTGAAACTCTTGTTTGAGTAGAATGAACAGGATATGCAAGGTTCCTCCAATCCATTCATTTCACCAATGTTTGTACATGTTTGTGTAATTAATACCTATGTGGCTAATGTAGTGATGCGCGGGGGTGCAGGCCCGGGCAAGCGCTCTGACGAAGGGGCTGCGCTAGCGCCGCGCCCTCCACCGCAGCGTGTGGCAACCATCTGCCACGCCACTAACTACCACGAGAAGACCACACTCCTGAGCTCCGACGACGAGTTCCAGTGAATGAGTGATCATAAGTATAGCACAATCAGCCCCACTTTTAGTCATTGTTGTTATTCGATAATGTGTCCAGCCCTTTGAGGTATCAAAAGACTGTGACCAAATTGTATCAGCATCAACTCAAATGTTCAAACTTTATGGAATGTTGAAATATGTATCTATTCGGTTTATTTTGGTATTTATGGTACATGTCATCTCGTCAACCTCTATCAGCCGGATAGCCTCACGTGAGGTCTATAAGTTAAAAAAAAATTGCAATTACGATTAGATACCTCAAAAAATACTAAGAAATGGCACATAGCAGTTTAGGTTTCAGTACCACCTTATGTATGTATATTGATTTGGAATCACATTAAAATATAACAAAAGTAAGTATATAAAACCTTTGTTTTCTATTTTTTACATTATTTGAAAGAAAAACAAAATGCTCCATTTTTTACACTTACTTTGTATATTAAGCATATAGAATAACAACAGGGGCTACTTATATAAAAAAATAGTTTTTAGGAATGTATTCCATCAAAAAGAAAGTTGATTTTAAAAAGCAAATAATATATTTTTTATGTATCCCTTGGAGCCCTTTACATTTGGAAGCATAGAACAAATACGCCTGACTCATAGCTGTACATTTGTTGTGGATATTAAAAAAGATTATAAAATCATGAAAGCTTTATTCATCGGTGGTTTAAAATAGAATTAAAACAGTAATACAGGGTGTAAAGGACGTCGTAAGGAATACTGAAATAGTGCATTCAGACCATCATCAGACTAAAATCATTGGAATTTTCTGCTGGAAAATTAAATGTTTCATGCAATCAGCTGTCTAAAGGTTAAGGTCATTCCCCGTAGATATTGCACAAAAGTATATTTGTATTCCGTGCAAACTGTCTGCGGCCTAAGCTCCGCGCGCTTCGGCTGTTTGATTAATTACATTGCAGTTTTTTGGCGTATGCGGTATTTTTTGATTTATTATCGGTAAAATGTTCTGTTTACTCATTGTGATATCATTTTTAAATAAAAATTAGGAAAAAATGATGGATTTTCCGGCAGAAAATTCCAATAATTTTCGACGCAGAATGATGGTCTGAATACACTATTTTAGTATTCGTTGCGACGTCCCTTACACCCTGTATATTACATTAACTTGTAAAAACTTTTAGAAAATAATACCAATGTTTTTAAGTTGTCTAGTTGTATAGCTTTTCTGTTGATTTTTTAAATAAGCATTTGATTGTTAGTTCTTTGTTTTAGTTTTCCCTTTAGTTAGTAAATGTAAGTAGCAAGTTAGTAAATGCTCTGACGCCACTACACACGTGCTATACACTAGCCACTCGCCAACCAAGTTCGTACCCAATGCTATTTAAAAACAAAGGTTGTTGTTGCCAAAAAGGTTTCAGCACTGTCAATGACCAAACTGGCAATATAAACAAAATTTATGCGTAGGTAGGTTTATGCGTAATTTTTATTTTGAAATTCTCGATTCGGTTGTTTTTTTAGTTTTGTTATGTAAAATCATGTACATGGTGTTATACGTGACAAAATACACTATAGTCATTAATTTAGATTTAATCTTCTGTAATTCAAGTTAGAGCTATTAAATTGTGTGTGTGAAAGAATGTGTTTAAGAAAGAACACAGGAGCAGGCACAAGCCTTTCTCATCTAGAGGTGTTGATGGTTTGAGATAAAACGGCGACAATGGCGCGATATAGAACGTAAGATTGTATAGTTATGTAAATGAAATAGCAAATGATACATTACAAAGTGTACAGGAACAGAGGAATTATTCTATATAAAGCTACTATTTAACTAGCTGTAAGGACGGTAGAAACTAAAATCGAATTCTTCTATGAAATTATAAGTTTTTACGATGACTACATCCCTTTGTGTTCATGTGGTTGTCTAACGCCTTTGCTCCAGACTTAAAAGGTCCGTTTTCAGCATAGACTCCTTGCTCTGTGTATTACCCATACCATTACACTCATATTTCTGAAACAAAGCTGTCCAGATCTCTCCAAAGGGTACTTTCGGTTTTAGTCTGGGGTTGAGGCGTTAAATGTATATTAATGACCTTGTACCTACACAGTGCGAGAGTTGGTCATTCTTGGAAACTATTTACCTAAATACATTGTTGTGAAGAAACATCACTAAGTATCTATAAATAAATATAAAACATAACAGTTGACAAACAAGATTATCTAAAATATCAAGTCAATTAAAGAAAAACACAAGTACCTACAAACATTTGTATTCTGAAACAGTTACCCAAAACTAGGCAATAACTCTCGTACTCAAACCACGGAGCCACCTTTTCACATATCTAAAAATATATAAAAACTGTAAATCCATTATAAATCTTTTAGATGTGCCTTTGTCTGAAATACCTTCACCTTTAAAACCAGCTACTTATAATATGTAAGTAATTTGCTTAACATGTGATACACAAATGCATTTCTTGCCGAAAACCAAAGAATGTCACTGCCAAAGTGTCACCTCGTTTGTAAACAATAAATACTTAAATTTATTAAACAATAAAATTAAAATTGACAATATTTGCCTCTGCTTTGCCGTCCAAACTGCTTAGGCTTTCAGAGTTTTGATAATATTGCCCTTAAGTTCGTTGAGTACCTATTTTTAGATAAATATACCTATGTGTACCAGAGTTAGAGGTTGCGTTTCCATCGACTTTGTTACCAATCACTTGCCGCCATTGATAAGCAACTCGTCTCGTTATCAATCAAAGAATCAATCTGATAAACTACCAACCACAAAACACTGTAAGCTAGTTAGCTTACAGTGTTTTTTGCAAGTGTGTGGATAATTATTTCCTTTAGACAGTTAGTGATGGATAGCAAATATCTTTACATCAATATCTTGGAATAGCACTTGAAAAACAGATTGTAAAGGACTTCTGATTTATATTATTACACCGCCTCTAAATCTATATCAACGGGCAAGCTGATTGGAACAAACGCTTTTTTGACTGCAATTGCAATTTCAAAATTAGCTGATATTCTTGATTATTTCGAATAATACGTCAATCCGAAACTATAGTTTACACTTTGTTAATTGTATGTATCTTAAACATTGTTTTACTATTTAACTTAACTTTGGTGTATTTAAATCACTGTTTTAAATTAATCTAAGCGTATAACTATATGTATTTAATTTGATAATTGTAAGTACATTTCTTAATGTAAATATGTGAATTCTATTCTCCTTACCGATATTTATTTTGCTTTGGCACAGTATAGTAATGCAAACCAGTTTTACTATTTGTCTTAACATTTATTGTTTTAATCAATTACCTTCTCTTTCTATCGGTCTAATGGTAAAACATCTATTCGAAAATGATGATACTTAATAAGTCGAGTGTACAATAATATTTAACATCGTACGAGAAGTATCTAGGTCCAACAGTTCATGATGAAAATCTGAACATCCTAGCTGTTATTGTCACATCATGCAATTTTTATTAATAACAAAGTAAGTTATAAGCTAGTTCCGTAGTACGAGGATTTCAGTGTACTTATGTAAAATTACTGCAGACGAAGTACAAAAAAAGAGTCAATAGGTGCACAAGATGGATGTAGAGCTCAGGTTATTCAGGAGCTTCTGGATGCGCAATAATGAATAGCATTTTATTGCGGTTTTACGGCCAGATTTGTGGATTGCAGCAGTAGATGCTACCGCTCCCCACCTCATAAATCGAGTCACTTTTTTTTTTAATTATTAAAAAAGTAAAAAGTGCTGGCTACAGCGCTACAATAAATACCTAGTTATTAGATTTTTTTTTTAATACCGGTAATGTAATTAATTGCTAATTTACCATAAAGTATTTATATGATCTAATAGTTTGGTTTGTAATATATGCCTACTACATAGTAATACTATGCTAATCACGTAAATTTGGATTTTTTTTCAGAACTAAAAAAGTTATTTTTATAACAGATGTAGAAAGTGGCATTAACATGTTTCTAAACGATGGTTGAAAAAAATATAACGTGGATTAACTTTATGTAGATACTCTTAATTAAAATAAAATGTTTTAGCTCCAAGTCTATGTATAAATAAATAACGATATTAATATAATAATAGTTGATTTATTTCCGTATATATATACATATACGTCCGTGTGGTGACGGATTAAGAATACAGAGTGTCACCACCCCTATTCATCCCGTGGGTGTCGTAAGAGCCGACTAAGGGAGCAAACTACGCAGGACAACAGCACTGCATAGAGAAGGAAAACTTGATACAAACCCTATACCAACCCGTCTAGCGAGCGTGGTATAGTAGGCCAAAACCTCCTTTCTAAGGAGAGGCCTATTTCCAGCAGTGGACTATTAAAGGCTGTTGATGTGATGTGATGATATATACATTACTTATATATATATAAGTAAAATATTTATTCCTTCCATTCTTTTTAACTTAACTTGAAAGCAAAGGAAAGAATGAAAGGTTAGTTTAAAACTTTTAAGAGCGAGCGCCTTTGTGTTTAAGTTAATATGAAATGAAATATTGACACCTTAGAATACATAAATTATGTGTAGGTACTTAATGTGCTCGAATGCATTTATACTCGTAACATACCCACCATTGAAAACGTTACGAAACGTACACCGCTAGTAAATAAATGTAAAAAGTTTGTGTTTTTCCTTAACCGAGCCCTACAATGGTAATCAGACTGCTGATAAACATACTTATATATTATCAAATACATATATATTATAGATAACATCCAGACAGACAATTATTGTTTGCTCATTGAGCCAAAGCAGTCAGTATAACCACTACAGCAAAAGACCCGTTAAAGCCTAATTATTATTATTTTTTTGCTTAAAATAATAAATTAATTAATTTAATGATGGTGTTAATCAACACTACATGAACACACCTGAATAAAATGAAACCTACACACTGGCTATAACGGAGATGTCAACGGTTGCCAACTTGATCACCTACTCACACAAATACGATTATCTATGTGGAGTAACAAATTACT